TGATGTCAGTGACTGTTGATGAGTATTTTAGACGTTCACTGCCAAGGACAGAAGCTCGCCGTGATACACTTAGAGGATAAACACAGACTTTACCACACACATAACATTTTACCTCCATGACAGAACCTGACTATACTGTACCTTTATTTACCGTCTGTCCTCATTACCTGGTTTTCCAGCACACTGTAATTTTTGCTTTTTTTGCAAAGTTTTAAAACCGCTGCACATGTCGGTAAAGTTCCTAACTGCAGTTTAATGTGATCCATTTAACAACACAAACACGAGAAAATTTTTACCGCCTAAAACCTTAGACCTTAATTAAAAAAACGATTGTGTTTTTATGTGGAAAGAAGATGCACCGTAGCGATCCGACAAAGTGTGAACAGTGGAGACTTTTATGGCTCTATAGTAAGAGTGTCTGCAGGGATGACACCTGTCTTATTGCTCTCCACATGATCCGCTGTAACATCAGGTCACAGTGGGACTGGCTCTTCTTTCTGAGACAGATATCATTACTGCAGCCCTGTGCCTGTGTTCTCAATTTACTCTAACAAGGATCACACAGACCACTATAAAAGTGTTGCTTGTCTATTAATACCAGGAAGCACCTGCTGTCTGTTAAAGCATCTGGCTTTGTTCCTGTGCTGCTGCTGCTGCTGCACTGTTTAAAGCATCTTTGGGACACTGACCGGAGGAGTTGGCAGGAACAGATTACTTTAATTAAATGATTCTTGGAAAAAAAAAAATAAAAAAGATGACTGCCGGCTCTCACAGTTACAGACATGCTAATGAGACTGCATGCTGTAGGTTTTTTCTTACTCCAAGTGAGCCTGTTGAGGTGCAAGATAAGAGCATCCTGTGCACAGAATTTACACACAAGACAAAAACAATTATGCAAATTATGGTTGGATGATTCTTATATTGGTGGTTTAGGATTTCAAGCTTCAACCGTGTGTAGTGATGATGTTAAAGCCAAACAAGTTTTGTTTCATAAAGACCTGAACTTAAAAGTTTGAAGTTAGTTCAATTGACTTTTCTTTCTTTTTCACTGAAGATCACGAACACTCTCACGTCCTGATGGTGAATATTAGTGATGCACGATATTAAAATTTCTGGCTGATACCGATATCTTATCCGTACGGAAGTCGAGAGCGGTCGTTTTCCGCTACTGTTCTTTCTTCGCCGTTTTCTCAAGATAACGAGTTAATTTTCTCGTTATCTCAGGTTAACAAGAACCGTTTTCTGTTTTTGTGTTTGCCCGCTTGTGCCCGGTCCAGGATGGACCATCCTCAGTCACCAGGGGGGGCCGGAGGACAGACGAGATCGGGCACGAGCGTTTCATTGTAAGTTGTCGTGCCCGGTCAGCTGTTCTCATGACACGTCATGTCGGAGTTCCCGGTCAGCTGTTCTCATGACACGTCATGTCGGAGTTCCCGGTCAGCTGTCTATAGAAGATACATCACACCAGGAAGTCCGACAACTTCTGTTGAAGGCTGAAGTGACAGCCGAAACTGTCAACGGGATAATTATCTTGTTGTCTCGGGAAAACGAATGCCGTTTTCTCGAGATAATTATATCGTTATCTCGAGAAAATGCCGTTTAAAAAAATGTGCGGCCATGACTGCTCTCGGCTTCCGTATATCCGATATATTTCTGATATCGCCGATAACCGGTATTACCGATGTCAATACTATTTAAATTATTCAAAAGAAGCCCATATCAAATTAGACCACATAGTCTCCTTTATTACGTAATGAAAGTAAACTATATGTTAACATATATAATGTTCAAGTCCAGGAACATTTAAGTAAAAACATCTGTGAAATAGCAGCAATATTAAATGTAGAGATGAAGGCGCTGATGTTAGACAATCATTGGTTCACATGAGCTAACTTTGTTCATCGGACCGATAGCGACATATAGAAAAAAACACGAATATCGGCCGATACCGATGTGGTCGCCAATATATCGTGCATCCCTAGTAAATATGCAGGCAGTGGTAAAGGGAGTTTGTTGCCTTTTGTAGAGAGCCAAGCTAGTTGTCCCTCCTTCTGAATGCTAAGTTAAGTATTTAGATTTATATGTGGCTGAAAAACTGTGTTTCTGCAGCATAACTGCAGAATTTGTTGAAGCGAAATCAACTGGAATCGAATTCTTGTTGTATGCAGTGAATAAACACGACTAATGTCAGTTTCACACATCAGCTCATTTATCTGTAATATGGCATCTGACCCATCAGCTGGCAAGAGGATAATCGAGCCAAAAGGCTAAAATCCTCACTGCTCCTCCGGTGCGCTCGATCTGAATCTGGGTTTACATTTGAGTACGTTACCGGTGGAAGGCAAATCAGCGGAAGTCAAGCTCTGATGGACGCAGCCGTTACGCCGCAGGCTATCAATCAGCTCCAGCTGATTCTGAATGCGGCCCACCGTGCGCCGCGCTCTGGCCCAGGGTGAAGGAGGAAAAGTCAGCTATTTCTTGCTGTCTCAGTGTGGGCACTCGCAAGTTAATCACAGTGATGCAAAGCCTCTTTCCTGCGGGGCCCAGAGCCTTGACAGTCTCCTCGGCAGTGCTGTGTCTGAGGCGAGTGATGGGCTGGACAAACAGATTGGCTGAAGCAGGATAATGAGGCCTGCTCCTCTCCAGCCAAGAGGCCAAACAGCCAAAGCCACACATAAACAAAAATAAAAACTGCTGCAATAATAGGCAATTAGCCTTTTGTTGGTGAACTGCTGGGCTCCACTTCTCGCTCTCTTCCTCCTCCTCACTACAGTTTGCATTTAAATTTGAATTAGAAATATGGTTCCAGTCCCCGATATAATGAAAAAAAAAAAAAAAAGCGACATTCTGGTTCTTGGCTGGAGTGATTTCTAGTATCTAGAACTATCTGGGCTGCAACGACACCATCGACCACACACTCAATAGGTCGCCCTGTTATCAGCGACAGCTCTGCTGCTCGTTATGAGAACAGATAGGGATTGATTCAGATATTTATCGCAAACCTTGACATCTGCAAGAAGAAAATATAACAATATCTGACCCGAGACACACTTACGGGGGGGAATATGAGCAATCTGTGTCCAGAGCAGGCTGTGTCTCACCAATAGCAGGCCTCTCACTGAAAGAAATGACCTTATTATTCATTCGCTCAACCTTGAAGGAAATGAGATGGTAAGAACGGGAACGAGTGTTATAATGGAGCACCGACCGCTGAGTGATGTTACAAGCCTGGCAGGAGTTGGACTGAAATAAAAAAACACACAATGGCCTGAAGTTACGAGAGTGCTGCCGTACCATCTAGTGGTGTCTGTTAGCACGCACACAAACAGAAAGCCGACCAGCTCTGAGTGGGTGAGGACAAAAGGAAATCTATTAGTAGAAACACTAGAGAGGATAAAAATCTGTTCACCGCATTTAATCAGCGCACCAGCTGTGGTAGTCATTACCTTCTGGAGAGGTGCTATACATCAGTGCCATGCAAAGACAAAGTAGCACAAAAAGTGTTTTCCTCCACTGCGGCACTGACAGTGAAGTCCGGAAGTTTACCCCGAGCATCCACCGCTGTACAGCTGGGACTCCCGTTGTTGGATGTTTACAAAAAAGGTGTGTATGAATCTGTGATGTGGATGCAACCATGCTGTTGAATTAAACTAGCAACTACTCCCAGCTGCTCAATTGAATCAGACATGCAGACAAATAAATAAGTCGATTGTTGTCGTCACTAAATAGCGTGTTTCAGTTCAAGTAAGAGAAGCAATACAGGCCCTGTCATATACATGAGTGAACAAGGGCTGCAT